CAAAAGAGGAATTTGGGAGTGCGTTAGATAAGAGTCTATGGAAAACCAAAGAACTGTACTCATAGGAATGTTTCTGGGGGGACTGATGATAGCTTGTATTGAAATACTGTCATCTGTTTTGTTCAAATATTATTACATTGCTACATTTGTCCTAAAACAAATTTAAATTAATGTAAAGATTTAAAATACTATTTAAATATCATCAATGAGCATGTATTTAGTGTATACTGTATTTGGCACTGACTTGAGAAATGTGTGTGACAAGAATTATGCAGACATAATTTGTGTCTGATGACTGATAAGAAATATTCTGCTCATATCTTAAATTTACTTTACAAATTATTTAAATCATTCTTTATCCTTAAAAGATTTCTTTTTGGAAAAACCATAAATATTTGGCATGTGTGGGGAGCTTTATTAATGTGGCTCGATAAAAACTGAACCGCCATTAAAAAAAATTAATAGGCTTTTAGATTTTCTCCTTTACATTTCTCTTCATATTACCTCAATTTCTAAACATTTATACAAATGGTTAAAAGAATGGAATAAAAGCTATAATTTAAATTAAAAAATGAGTAAATATAACACCATGATGCTATAAACTTGGACCTTAAAACATCTGATATATAGATAGCTTCCTGAGTAGTAAGCATAACTATAAAACTTTTTTCTATAGGAAACAGAATATGTTCACTGAAATATAGACAGTGTCCTAATTACTATATCAGTAGGAAACACCATGCAATTTTCTCAAATTAGAAATGTATGTCCTACTCTGTTAGTAGTACTTACAACTTGAATAAATAAAATATATATATCAGGAACTATACTTGGGCATAACAAAATAATTCCATTATGGAATAACAATATTTTATTTAAAAGGCATCATATATATGTTCATATGCTAGGATAGTTATAGATCCAAATATATATATATTTCAGGCAATATAATAATTGTGTTTATTTCAAATATATGGGAATGCAAACGTAGCTTATCATTTTATGACTATAATTAAATTTCTTTATGTGCTCATAGCAAATTTTAAGTGCAATAAATGTAATTGTTAGTCATCTAAGGGCAAGACTGAAATTGGGTTGAACCTGCTGGATAAACATTTTAAATAAAGTCCTACACCATCCCAAAGAATCCTAGGCAATTGGTAGATAAATATCTCAAGTTCATATGTCACATAGGTAAACACAACTGGATGTCCTTTCAGAACTGTGATTGTTACCCACCTTATAATAGGGAAGTGACTTTTTTTTCTGATAAAGGAGTTTAAAAAGTGTTTAGCTAGCAACTTAACTTTGAGGGTATATACTTTTTGTTCAACATCAAAGCTTACCAAGTTGTTTATTTGCCAGAGCTTTAAAATATCATGAAGCAGCACCATTTATTTTATTTAGGATGTTAAGTTTAATTCTAATTTTAAGCTCCCATGTCCCTTATGTTCTTAAATTAATTCACACAAATCCCTGATTAATAATAAAAGGGCTTGCCATCAGTATTCAAAGCCCAGCCTGAGTTGTCACGGCTGAGGGGGCAGAAATCTGCTTGGAGCAATGAGAGAACCCAACTGAATTCTTGGCGTCTCAGTCTATGAATGTGTAAGCACTTCATCTGTTCGTGGAAACACAAGTTCCTGGCAGGATGTGGGAAAAGGTGCCGCCTGGTCAACAACCAGGACGACCCGGGAAGTGCACTACGTCAAAGTCACTGAATGCCGGAAGCAGTACATCGTAATGGGTTCCTTCCAGCTTCACACACAAAAAATCGCGTTATTTAGAGTAAACTGTTTGTGTTCTCCACATTCATTTTATCCTTATCACTGCTGTCCAACGATCGTTGCAAAGGTCATGTGTGGATTTGATTTTCAGTACTATTTTTATACATTTGTCCAAACCCATACATAGAATGTACACCACCAAGAGTGAACCCTAAGGTAAACTATGGACATTGGGTGATTATGATGTCTCAATGTAGGTTCATCCTCGGTAAAAAATGTACCATTTTAGTGAGTGATGTGAATAACGGGAGGCTACAATGTGTAGGTAATGGGGGTATATGGGAAATCTCTGTACCTTCCTCTCAATTTTATTGTAAACCTAAAACTGCCCTCAAAAAAATTAAGTTAAAAAAAGAGGTAAGTGGCTTCTTCATTCATCTCTTCATTATATGATCATACTTCCTTCATATTATTCATTAAGAACAATCAAGACAGCTAAAACTTGTTGAGTGCTTACTACGTGTGTGCCAGGTACTATATAAGTGCTTTATATATATTAAGTCATTTAACCCTCAAAACAACACTGACACAGGTATTATTATTATCCCCATTTTACACATTAGGAAACTGAGACACAGAACAAACTTGACAAAGATCACATGGCTAGGAAGTGACAGGGCTAAGATTTGAACCCATGTAGTCCAGCTCATCACCATTACACTATACTGCTTCTGCTTATTCATTCATTCATTCAATTATTCATTAATTTGTCAGTTTTTTTTGAGCATGTGGGATATGCCAACAACTCTGATGGAAACATTTTCAACAAGGAAGACCTCAAAACATTTACCTTTCTCAGGCAGCTACTGGAGGAAATGCTCCGCCAAAACCAGGAAGTAAATAAAAGAAGGAGCTACTAGAGGAGATACTCCGTCAAAACTGGGAAATAAACAATAAAAGATGGAGACCTGGGATCCATAAAACAGAAGGATCTAGGAAAGAAGGGAAGAGAATTCCCAGGACAGTGGTCAAGTGTAATCCCGGGATGACATCTATGCACCAGGCCTGGAGAGCAACCAGCCCAGGTAAGAGATGAAGAAGAAAAGAGTTCCAGAAGGGATACTCGCTAAAAAAAATATGGGATTATTACTTGATGTGTTTGACTGCACTGAGAAGACCTCTGTTGGGCAATTTGAGGAAAGAATTAATAAGGGAAACATAGAAGACTAAGAAAATATAAAAATAAAAAAAGCGAGGCAATTATTAACTGTAAAAAACCCCAAAATGCTGTACCATGGTATATAGATTATATTACTGATAACTATATAATTATTCATTCCCTTACCACCCTTGCCTTACCTCCCTGTAATCAGAGCAGACTTCCTACCATACTGACCTGGGGCTTGGCCTTGTGACTGGTTTTGGCCAAAGGAATGTGCCAAAGGAATGCCACATGCCACATCCAAGCAAAGGCTTTAAATGTATGAGGATTTGTGGGGTCTGGTTCTGTCTGCCTTTAGTTTCTGCCCCAGATAATGTCTATCTACTGAGACTGTATCTCAGAATGAAAAGATACATGAAATCAAGATGAGCTGATCTCAAACAAGGCTAGCAGAACCCAGCTGAGTCTCAAGTGATCCAAAACCTTTGGGAAATATGAACAATAAATGTTTCGTCAACCGCTGAAATTTGGGGCTGTTTTTGCTACAGCAAAAGCTAATACACATAGTATAGTCCATAGGTCAGCAATGAACAATATTTACATAATCATAATAATATAATTAGTCACATAATTATATTACACTATTAATTATACTATAATTAATTATATAATAATAATCTTTGATTCAACAGAGATTTAATCAGAAAGCTGAAACTAAAAGTTGTGATATAACTATATTAGGAGGGTTAGGAGACAAACAGGGTAAGATGAGTAAAACAGCTAAATCCTGATATCACATAGAAGAAAATCGATGTCTAAAGTTGGAAAATCAAGAGATACAAGTATATTACTAAGAATTATGTAGGTTAAATTGCAAAAGAAACAACTGAAAGAATTGAAAGTTTTTGCCTTATAAGGGGACTAGAATCAAATATGAGAAAGACGCAGGTAAGGGAGTAGTTTTGTTATTGTTATAAGACATACTCATATAGCATTATTTGATTTTCTTTGAACTATCTGCATGTATTAATTTCATAAAAATCTTAACCATGAGCACAAAAATAAGAAACAACAATAAAATCAAGGGAAGCAATCATACCTGACATACTTAAAAAAAAAAAAAAAAGGATTCTGATCCTGAAAAGCAAAAAAGGACTCCTAGCTGGAATCATAACACCTAGTTTTACTATTTCATAATCTGGCTTCTACTTTTCTCTAGCTACATCTTTCTCCGCTGTTTGTTTCTTTCCTCAGGGGAGAGCAAACAGTATTACTGGTCCCCCTTTCCTGTGGAATTATAACCATAGACGTTTTCAGTTCCAGGTGTCACTGACAATATGTTACAGGAAAGGCGTTGCCTAAAAATGAGATAAGATTAAGGGCTAACCTCGATTAATACATAAGTTGATTATTTATCTACTCTACACATTATCAATGATCACTGCATGTCTTCTTCCTAACTGCCACCTTTTGGTCACTTCAATCAGCTTTCACTGCATTACCAAAGAATGAGAAAAATGATTAAAAGTGAATTAGTAAATTTTGCTCCTTTTTTAACAACTATAATTCAGGGACAATTTAAGCTCAATGTGTGAACAGTTTTAGTCACAAAACAAATAAATTTAAGAACTAATGTAGTTTACAAAATAATTTAGGATCCCTTTAAATAGTGGACGCGCATTTAAATAGTGGACTGGATTTACCAAAATTCTAACACAGTTTTCTAGAAATATATTTATTGAACAAAGGACAATACATCTGTTTCAGATATTTTGACAGAAAACACTAAAACTAATTATAAATATTTTTATATTACCTATAGATTTCACTCATTATGTTAACAGTCGCTCCCTTTATCATGAACAAATAGAAGTTATTTGAGTGCTGCAAGTTTCATCTAGTAACTTCTATAATGTGGACAGAAATATGATGGGATACAGACAGACACAGAAAGTATCTCAATGAGGACACCATCTCATTTAGATATTCTGATATACTCTTAACCACACTGTACTTCGAGTTGTTAATTCACAGGCTTGCCATTTAGAAACCAGCACTGGGACAGAATGTCAAAGCACAAAACAACAACAAACAGGGCCTGTCTCTCATACCTCTTCATCTTTCATATTCACATCCACGTTTTTCGATTTGATGACTTTGGTTATATGGTCAATGTTGTTTTCCCTGCAGTAATCAAATATATTTTTGTCTTCTTCCCTAATTAGAGTAAAAATAAAAAGTGTTTGTGTTACTAGGTAATACATAAACGTTACATATTTTTAACACAACCTGTTTGCTGCTGACAAGCATGAATGGAACCTCTGTTTTATAAAAAATTTTACGTGAACAATAATGCGTTTTCAATAAGACGTAAAACATCCAACCTCTAAAAAGACTGAAGTTCTTAGCAACTATAATTATAGGAAAATGCTTCATCGCTTTAACAGGTTACACTAGTACACTAATTAGAGCATCTTGAGTAGATTTTCTTGGTGTTCTTTCTCTCTCCAGTTACTTTTACACACTGACAAGCACATATTTCCTCTGACTCAGAACACTCAATTGTAGCACAGTAGTAAGAAGGTCATTTACTACTGTCCGTAGTATCAAAGATCAGAAGTATCAAAAGATCAGAACACAGTTTACTACTGTTTTATAGGCCAACAGAATAAGTTGACTGTTACCCAAGTTTAAAATATATTCTTTAATGTATCTGTATATACTAATTTTAAGGGAAAGATAATTAGCAAGTAATTTTCTTAAGAAAACTAAGAAAGCACTTTTCTTAAGGGAAAGATAATTAGAGCATAACAAAATTCAGAAATCCTTCATGAAATAATAGAAAGAAATGAGAAGCATACTCTGTACCCAGCACCATTCTAAGTATATCAATATACTAAATTAATTTACTGTTATCCAACAGCTTTACTTCACAGATAAAGACATGGGTCAGGAGAGATTATATGACCTGCCAAATGGCATCACATTCATTAAAAGGAAAACAAGGTCTAGAAGTCACTCAGATCAACTGTTTGGTACAAAGTACATTTTCTGTCGTATCAAACTACATTTTGACTAGTCAGCTGAGGTCTAGTCTAGCATCTAAAGCAGTTCTTAACATGAAGTCTGTGAGTTCTCTAAAATAGGATACAGAATTGCCTGTGTAAATGCATGTGCATTTTTCTGAGTGTGTGTTGGGGTGGGGGCGGGGGAGTAGCTTCAATGAGATTCTCAAAAGGATAAGTAATCTGGAATATTAACAACGAAAATGTTCTAGATGTGGACTGCGTTTTCTGGATGAATGTAAGAATGCAATTTGAGTTCCAAAAATTATAACTAGTGGGTTTTATAATCTCCAAGGCCGAAGCTTCCATTCATCAGAAATTAAAGCACCTGGCCATAGGAGTCCCTCTATTTTAAAGCCAATTTAAATACCTTATACCCTATAAAAAATTCTTTCCAGACACACTACTTTGGCCTTAACCATCTAAGCTTTCCATGAACACCTACGAACTATTACACGCAAGGCACTGGCCGAGCAAGGAGCTATGCATCCAATACATATACAGTGCATCTGGGATGATAAAATGTATACAACAGTAACAGGGTAAAACTGGCTCTTTAAAAGGGCCTAAAAGAGTACAGAGGAGAGACAGCCTGCTTCAAGCTGGAGAGAATGAGGTAGGTGTCCAGGAAGAAATCATGTTTAAAAGGAATATATGGTCTCCTGAAAACATCTATTTTGATTTAGAGAAAAAGCTTTTCCAGATTACTTACTCTGAAAGAAAATAGAGCAGTCTGAGGCCAAAACCCCAGAAAAGAGAAGTCTGATTTTTAAAATTAAGGCTGCATATAGTGCCACGTTAGCTATTTAACTTCATGTAGTACCACTTTAGCTATTTTTAACTATCACAAAAAAACGCTGTTGCTATGAAAAGGTGCGTTCAGAATTCCAATTTGGGAATAAAAGGGACCTATTTTCCTCCAATCTGGTAAAAGAGACCCCTCTAATTCAATAGGCAGCAACTTCAACTGAGAGGAAAGACTGTGTCATTTACGTCATAACAAACAAAAAAATACACTCATCAGCAATTATTTTAAGTTTGGGGAAAATAATGGGGAGCTGGTTGTGGGGCACAGACAGGAAAGGAAGGGTATCCACAGGACGTAGGTAACTCACACCCATAATGCGGAAGGGTATTCACAGATGTGGGGGTCTGAGTGGCCCGGCTCCTGCATCCCAAATGTGCATGTATATCTATGCCATAAGCAGTAGAAGAGTAAACATAGTACAAACATATTTAACTTTTTATTTTGCCTAATATATTTTCAATGTTTCTCAGAGCAATTATTTTGATTTGGTATATGAATTTTTTGGAGGACAGGGGGCATTTTTTCATCTGAATACATGCTTATCATCTGAGTTTATCATTGCTAAATAGCACAGGCACATAGAGGTATTTATAAAATACTTCCCGGGTAGTACAGCATACAAAGTAAATATCAAAAAGAAAACAAAATCACCACAAAGCTGAGTGACTAATATAAAAAAATTAAGTATCAAGTAAGTAACACTCTTGAGCTTAGCTGTCTGTTATAGTTATCTACCCACACTCCAAGTTTGACTATCTTACCCACCAGCAACCAAGCTGTCTTAATACAATGTCACCACCTAGTGGCCAAAACGGAGACATCTGGAGCAACATCGTTCCAAACATTTCCTTTCTTGTCCCCAAACGAGATTACGTATGGCATATGAATCACATTCTCTTTTTTCAAACCTCTAGTTTCCCGGTTAATTGTCTTCCATAGGAAATCTTTCCCTCTGTATCCATACTTAAATAACATGCAAATGAATTCAACTATTACCAAATATAGTAGAGCGTTAATAACTGTTAGTGCCCTGCTCACTTTCTCTCCCTTTCTTATGATTCTTACCCATTTATCTTTCTCCCTCTCTTTGCTGAAGGCGAGTGAGAAATTGATCATATCCATTTTCTACGGATGCGTGAGAGTTACGTTTGTGACGCTCCCTCAAGGATGCCCCACATTATCCCTAGCACAAGACAGAGGTCTCTCTTTAGACAACTCTACATTTTCTGAAATCGACACAAACACATTGATATATCTGAAGGAAAAAAATTACTGGCTTTCTTCGAAATTCTTTTGGAATATAAGAACATACCCTTATAGAAAAGAGGGATGGTGTTTAAGTATGGTCACCCTTCATTAATCACAGGAAGAATAGATCCTTGCCCATTCCCCAAAATGCTATCTGCACCACTTTCTACAAAGATTGCATTTTCTTATCATAAGAATATTTCAAACAGTTAGGTTTCATGGCAGGCCACCTGAAGTCTACCTAGCTACTATTCATCTCTTTCACAGAATTCAAGCAAACAAACAAAAATTAGTGGGACAAGCTCAGATATCTAACTATTTAATAGATACATTCAATAAATATTTCAAGTCAATTCATATATTTATCAAACTAGCAATCAGATATAAAACAGTATTCCAGTAAACAGACAATAAATAATGATTTACTACTGCATGAATGAAAACACAAAGAAGAGTGAGCCAGTATCAACACAATACTCGTATAAACAAATGCCACTAATTCCTCAGACTAAAGGATGGACACTTGTGGGGTTTGGGAGCATACCTTTGCAGACCTTTGCAGGGATACGAGTTGTAAATAACGGTGTTCTAAAACAACTGGTGCTTTAGAGTCAATGAAGAAATAGGGTAGGTGCAAACCACACAGTGCCAAATGGACAAGTGAACGATGGCTGTGCGAATTCACATATACTGAGGCACAATCCTCCCGCCCAGAATCCACAGTTGCTCTCAGGCAGTTATAGCAAACAAGCAGCCTCCCGATCCCTGCTGTAAGGCCATGGTAACCTCTTCTTGCACCAAGTAATAACTGTTTCCAGGCTGGGTTTCATATATGCAGTGTACCTAAGTTCTAGGACTAGAAAATTCTACAAAGTTCTATTTATTATCTTCTCTATGTTGTTAAGATGCTTTTTCTCCTGCTTTTTAAAGCAAGTAACAACAAAGGAAAGATCAGTGTCCCGGGTCCTTCTTGTCGATAACGCGTTACAATGGGAAAGTTATTTAGCCATGATTTATAAAGACACCAGTTACTGAAAATGTATTGTCACCTCTTAAAACCTGCTTAACTCTAAAAAAAAGTTGGTTGAGAATTTCTGATACTTTAAATGCCTATAGAAAAAAACAGTTCAGATTCGATCAATTCCTGCAAAGCCAGTGGCCACATCAGAAAAATCCATAGAAGCCCTTGGCTAACAGGCTCCACGGAGCTGAGTTACATTCCCTACCCTTAAGGTTAAGTCTAAAATCAGTAAAAACCATGAATCCAAAGAAAACATCCTCAGCAGTATATTGATAAATAAAAGACTACAGCCTCTAATTTCACCAGTAAGGCACATTTTAAAAAACACTCAGTGGAAAAGGGATTTAATTTAAAATTTTAAACTGAAGATAACTTACTGTATTGCTATAATAACAATGATCAAATTCGATTTCATTAATTGGAGATTACAGCGATTCTTCAAACGTTTCAGGAATACAACGTGTAGCAATGAAGAGCAGTTACCAACCATGTGACCTTGGGCAAGTAACCTAACCTCTCTGACTGTCCATTTCCTCATCTGTAAAATAGGGACATTAATAATATCTACATCTCACAGGATCATCCTGAAGATTAAGTGAAGCAATATCTGTAACGTATGAGGTATGATTACTAGCATATAAGAAGTGGTCAATAAATGCTAGCTGACATTATTATTGCCTTAAGGTTTTAGCCTACGTTGTCAGCTGGGGTCATTTCTCATATATCCTTATAGAACACTGTCAATCAACTCATCTCACAAATATTAATTCGACCTTTAAGGATACAGAAGTAAGCTGATGTGGTTGGAGCAGAGTGAACAAAGGGGCAGTGGGGAGGGGGAAAATTGGCATTAGATGAGATGGTGAGGGGCTCTGGAAGGCATCTTAAGGATTTTAAAATTTTATCCTAAGTGCTATGGGAAATCATTAAAAGGCTTTGAGCAGGGGAGTAATATGATGAGATCTGAGTTATAAATCTGGGGAAGAGGCAGCACAGGAAGTGAGGAATCCAGCTCTCAAACCGTCCTGTAGTGTCCTGGCCAAGAGATGACGGTTGTTTGAGAGCAGTAACGGCA